CATTTTGCATTTTCACTGTGTCTCCTCAAGCTATACTGTCAAACATTGCAGAACACGTAACTAGGATAACTAAATAAAGTAAAAGTAGTATTTATTTACAAAGGAAATATCTACAGAAAAAACTTTATTATGACCCTAAAACATCTCTGGACAATATATCTGGACACACAGAATTTTACACTTTATACCAAACAGACGTTAAAACGTCCATCCCAGTTCTTTCTAACCACCAGACTCCCGAGGATAGCAGGAACCAACAAGCATGCTTGGCTGCTTGATGAGACGCCAGCTGAGCTCTCTCATTATTGTCTGGAAAGCAAAAGAATATTTTAAAACCACTGCCTCTTAAGGAAAGAGACCCTTTAGTTACAACAAGCAGAAAGCAAGTTACGCCCAGAGTTATCTCAAACCTGTGAGGACTAGAAACTCCCACACAATTTATGTCTCTCAGCTTTTATTTATATGGTCGTCACCCTTCTCCTTTTCTACAGTAACAGAAACAACAACTCCTTGCGTAAAGAGCCCCACAAGAATAAGAAATGGCTGTTTGAAGCCACTGGAGATCTCATTTATGGACACAGCACTTCAAGAGAAAAATGCCATAAATTAACTCCCATTGTTTTTTATCTAGGCAGTGAAATATTATCTGTCCAATTCTCTATTACAATGAAATAGTTTCCAGACCAAAGGTCCACTCATGCCAAACGTTACATTTTTCCACCCAACACTTAAACCATTCATCTTTAGCAGAGCAGAGAAATACTGTATGATTATTTACCAGTTATTCCAACAAGTCATGAATTAAAAATAGATACTGAAGCTAATTCTTTTACAAATGTGGCACACGGCACAACAACAAATGGTTCGTCTCAATATATCAAAGTAGTATCACCTGAAGACCACAGAAAATCCCGTCCAGTACATTCAATACAAAAACTTTCCAAAATACTTCCCACACCCTTCCATGTGTCTCTGTAAATTTAAGCTCAGAGGCTTAAACTCAGAGGCCCACCCAGCGAACTCATCTCTTTACAAGAAGCCACTACCTCTCATTTTTCTCAGTCTGAAGTAATAGATTGTTTGCTCATATTGCTCCACACCTTTCCGCACCTGCTTGTGTATGAACAGGAGTGGGGAGTAAGATTTATACCCCAAAACCCTGGCACACTTCCATCTCTCAGAACCTTGCCTGCCTGGATTTATTGAAGTTACTTACATCTTGGGTCCCACACAGCAGGCACAAGGCAGCATTGGAGAACAGCAGGGAAATTAAGCCAAGACAACACCTTCAGTCCCTCAGTTTCACCTGAAACTCACCAGTTGTAGCTGTCCCAGTGACCCAAAGAGCAGCAACATCTTTTCAGTGGCACAGAGTTCAATTAGTGTACATCTGGCCACATTCATACCAGTATCCAAAATGGGGTGGCCGCATTTCAGCTTTCTTTTCAGAACAGTCCTTGGTCTGTGCTAACTGGTAAAGCTTTAGTGAATACAGACCAAAAGCATGACAGGAACCATCCTGATAGATAATCACCCTCAAGGCTGAGAGACCTTCTTATTATATATGGAAGAACTATCAGCATTCTCAGCACACGGAGCCCACTGTGGCTCATTTAATGGGTTCCTGCAGACCACCTGGCTATTCATTTTACCATTGCAAAAATCAGTGGAAACTACTGAATGTCTTCAAAATTCATTTCTAATCAACAAAAAATTCTAAATGTTAACACGCAATAATAATAATTTAATGTTACCGTCTGATATCATCACAAGGCTGTGATTTAAGACATCTGGATACATTTACTATCTACTTTTATGGTTTATACACACACACAAAAAAAGCTATGAGCTCCTTGAGTTTATAATGATTGTTCCTGGAATAACTGCAACAGTCTTGTCATCCATATGTACTCTCATCAAATCCACCTTAGCATAGCTTCTCCCTGGCAAATATACATTGGTACGTATGCACATTGTCAAATACATGTAAAAGCATACATGCTCTGCCAGTCAAGAATAACGCAGAAATAAAGGCTTTTAAAGAAATTAAGAACAATTACCAAATACAGCAGTGAGCCTCTACCGCTTCTAAACGCAATCTCTTTAAAGCATTACAGATAAGCAGGTGGCATAGAAGAAAAGGAATTTATAAAAACTTCCCCCAACAAACAGAACATTAATATACTGGAAGAAAAACAGTGCCATCTAGTGACATCGGTTTTACCCATAAATGATGTCTCCCAATGGACTGATTTGTATCAGTTTCTCTATGCAAAGTTATCATAAGCTAAAACTACAGAATGTGTCCCATGAACCAGACTGTGGCATAGAACTGTGAAATTTTATAGATTTTGTTATAGTACCATTAATTTCAAAAACTTGCATGTTTAATTCTGAGCACCGCAAGAGCTCTAAAGGATTACCAGGAGTTAGCTAGTCCCTTTATCTCCTTCAAGGTTTCACTTCTGCCATACATTATATCCTTTAGTCCAACCTGATTTTAAGTATCTCCAGTAAAGTATATTTATACCCCCTTCCCACATGGTCGATGCCAGTATGTATCTCTGCTTTTAGAAAGTTTTGCCAGCACTCAAACCAAATGTTTTTTCTGATATTTAAGGTCTGTATTTCTAATTCTCCTAAAAATGTGTTCTTCCATTCCTTTTCAACAGCCTTTTACACACATGGTTCCCGCTCCTTCCCAGCCCTATTTGCCTAACAACGCCAATTTGTCAGTCATTCCCCATTATCACAATTTACAGACTATCATTCTTTGTCTGATCTCCTTTCAACTCAATACAGTTTGCCCACATTATATAAAGCAAGCCACAAAGCTGGACACAATAATCCAGCTTGGCTTTTCTGATAAGAGAAACAGTAATTAGTTAACGTACCCTGTGTTCATTGACAGTTTATGAAGCTTGTAAAGTCCAGCTAAGGTTCATAACTAGGAAACCTACTACTGTTTCCTTAACTGTACAACTTCCTTTTTAAGGAAAAAGATCTATCAGACTCTTCTGTTCTTGCAAAGTTAATATTATTTGCTACTTATCTCCCTATCTTTGCATGCTTAAGTTGCTAAAGCAACTTCTCTTTTTGACATCCCCCTCAGCAGTCATTTACATTTCTGAAATCCTCTTGATTCTTTAAGGCATCCTAGGATGAAGTCTACAGGATAAAAAAGCCTATGCTCATGATGATAAGAAAAAAAAAATAGTCTTTCACAAAACAGATTTCAGCTATATACTAAGAAGCTGAGCCACGGCTAAAAAATGTGTCATTGATAAGCCCTTTAAAACTTGTATAAGTTTTTAAGTTGGCTATGATGGTGAGAATATATTTTCAGTGCTGTTGCATTCACTTTGTCTGTAAAAGACTCATTTTAATCTTTCCAAGAACTTGCATTATTTTCAGATGTGTTTCTGAAGAAAACTGATCAAGTTCCTGTTTTTATCACTGACTCCTATCAGTGAAGTGGGAACAGCCTTATCAAAGAAAAACAATGCTCAATCAAGAGTAACATCTCTTTCCCAAGTTTCATCAGAACTTGTTATATTCCAGAAAGAAGCACTGTTAGGGCCTACACTGCATTAGTACAACTACGTCAGTAGTTTTTCTTCATCTAGTTATTTCAGACTGACTTCTTAGGTAGATAATCCACAATCTTTGTACCCAACTTAGTTTAAAACATGTTCCAAATGCCATAAATTAAAATCAAAATACTTTCTTTGCACCTCTGCAAAATAAGTTGCTCCTCCTCTGTTGTCAGGATGTAACCTACTTTGCTACGAAGAATGCCCTCCAGCTGCCTCTTGCATTGTCTGTCAAAAGGATCAAATGCCTGCAGCCCACCTGCAGCTTTCTGACAATCTTTAGAAAACAGTTATACCACTACAATAAATATCTCCCACACTGAAAATCTGAGAAGATCTAACAACAAAATAAGCACCTCAGTGCTTATTCGTGTCTTTAATTCTTACAATGACTGTCTTGGAATTGGTTATGGTTTGCCACTTAATTTCTAGTATATAGCAGAAAACTTATTTTTTTAAAAAAAAAATTTGAGGTCCATCTTCCTAAAAGCAGACAATTTCATTTTTATAGTGGCAATGCATTATATATTGGATATTATAGATTTCAACACCATCACTTCAAATGTTAGTCAGCTTATTCACATGTTATACAGCTAATATGAACAGGTCTGTATTTGACAGCACATTGTGTCGTGTCATATTTTAATAAAGACATGTTTAACTTCCAAAATGCATTACAAACAAAAAATCACTTTAAGCATAATTCATAAACTTAATTTCCACTTATTTATCCAAGGTTCAACAATATTGAGTAATGGAAAAAAGTATATCTTTTACAGAAGCTACAAAGCAAAACACCCTTGTGTTCCAAGCCTTCCACTCAGTTCAGTGGAACAGCAGCCTCTCTCCCTGACTTCACAGGCAAACCTATCCCTCTCAAGCCAGGAGAAAAGTAACAAGAGTGTGAATAATTTCTATTAAGACACTTGCCTAGCAACTATGAATTGGCTATTTGAGCGTGGTAATTACAGGAAGAGTCAGTTTTAAAACTCTGAAACAAAGCAGAACATGAGAATACACGCTGGTTGGCTATTTTTCGCTACAAAACGTCAGGTCAAAGTATTTTGGAGAAAAAGCTGTAATCAGTGGCAGAACAAGGACCAGTGGTGGTGACATTCCGAGCAGAGGGTGCTCAATAACAAGCAGCATTACAGGAAACTGATTTTGTTATCAAGCACTGGAGCAATATCAGTCAGTGTAAGGACATAGGCAAAGTGAAAGGTTTGGAGTAAAGCTGGATAGAAGCATTAACTTTCTTCCTGATGCCAATCTTTGCACACCCTATTGGGGTTTTTTTTGTGCAAACCGCTAACAAAGTTGATGCTTAACAAATAAATGTTCACAGTTGGTATTTGGGCTTGGGTTTTTTACAACAAACTTAAGAAGCGAGTTCCCCGTCGGTCGTACCTCATGTGCAGGATCCCGATGAGGGTGGCGGCCAGGTCGGAGGACATCCTGCCCATGATGCAGCAGCGGCTGAGGCGGGCG